GACTGGCCAGCTGTGGCCCGCACTTTGCCCTCCCCTGCTCTAGACTGTAATTCTGACACCATGGCAACTATTTGCCAAAATTGGAGGCGCTCTAGCCTCTTCTAGAAGGGTCCACAGCAGAAGACTGAGTGTGGTCAGCCCCCGGAATGGTGGATGCTTTCTGGGCGCTGGTGCAGCCCAGGGGCATGGAGCAGTACCGACGCTACTCCACGGACTTCATTCACAGGTGAGCACATTTGTTCTATAGCTGTGGCGATATCTGACCCCCGTGCAGTGTGCTTCAGCGTTGTCCCCTCCTTCGCTAACGGGGCAGCCGGGAGATTTGGCATTGGTATTTTTAATGGCATGAATATACCACACGTTTTAACTGCAGCTTTTGGTTTTTCTGCTGCTCTTCCCCAGGATGGTCAATCCCGAACCGTCCGTCAGTTCCAGTTCACTGACTGGCCCGAACAAGGTGTGCCAAAATCAGGAGAGGGTTTTATCGATTTCATTGGACAGGTGCATAAGACAAAGGAACAGTTCGGTCAGGATGGGCCAATTTCTGTCCACTGCAGGTAGGCAAACGAGCAGCCATCTTTGCCTCAGTGCAAATTCCTGAACAGAGCGGGTGACCTAGTATTTTGTAATTTCTGTAAGCCAAGCTCATTGGACACACCAGGGGGGCCGTGCATTCCTCCATTCCCCTCCACGAGGTCCTCGTGGGTCACGCTCTCCTCCTCCCCAGCTCTTGTCTCCCAGCCAAAACAGAATTAATGTTGTTGTGTTGCGTACAAACAGAGAAATGCCATCAAGTTGAATGGAGGGCCTCGTTTTGCTGACCCAACACAGCTGAATAAAAAAAAACCTACACCACAGTTTGCTAAGCCAGATGCTATGCTGGAGCAAGAACTATTCTTGCCTCCTGCCTGGCTGAAGCAGAAAATAGAGGGCATTACCTCAGCAGATCCCTGAGAACTTCTTTCATTAAACCAGATAATGTTGCTTCCAAATGGTGGAGGATGTTTTTTTAAGTTATTTTCTAATTACAATAAAAATAAATATTCAATTTAGAAATTATCTACTGCTGGAGCTTTTGACATTTGTGGATCAGTGACTCTGGTGGTTTTAGTATGTCCATGGCTGGTAGAGGACATTGACCAGGAAATCTGACACCAGACAGGCAAGGATTGATAGGCAGGGGCTTTCCGCCTCTGTTATGTTCATTGGACATGGATGCCAATTTATTGCTTTAAGAAATACTAGAACATAAACAAAGCCTTCAGCCTTTATAACTGCTACACTTCCTTCCTAAAATACACACAGGAGTATAACACAGTGTTTGTTGTTCTCTCTCTCGTCTGTAGCGCCGGAGTGGGCAGAACTGGGGTGTTTATCACACTGAGTATCGTCCTGGAGAGAATGCGTTATGAGGGTGTTGTAGATATTTTCCAGACAGTTAAGATGCTGCGAACACAACGACCAGCTATGGTGCAGACAGAGGTAAAGAACATTGTAGCGATGAACTTCACCAGATAATTGTAAAATAAATCAAGGGGAATATGAATATTGTACTTAGAGCAGTATAAAAAAGTCTGTATGAAATTTTAGTTTGTACTGACTTCGCTCGTGCTTTTTATGTAGCCTGTTGTAGAACAAGGCAAATCTCTAGCGGCGTTGATGTACCCCCTAGAAGAGCTCCCCTAGCACTAGCAGATTCTGACCTCACCCGACCCAGCCTGGCTGTTAACCATGGATGTAGGCGCTTTATGAAAGGCAGGCATGGTTATCCCAGTTTTACGCATGCATTTATCATCCTGTGGCGCTCCATGAGCCATACGAGCGTTTGTCGGCTCTGGGGCTGTCTGAGACGGTTTCTTCATTTCCAGTACACCCAGTGTTCTTCCAGGGGCTGTTCTTGTCCCCGCCCAACAGCAGAAAAGCGGACGCAGCGAGCGATGAAGGCGTGCGCTAGAATGTCTGGGTAAGTGTTCCACAACCACTAACCCACTGATTGTCTCTCTTGGCCTTGCCTAGGATGAATATCAGTTCTGTTACCAGGCAGCTCTCGAGTATCTGGGAAGTTTTGATCACTATGCAACCTAAAAAGCCATCCGCCTTGCAGACTCCGCCCACCACTTCAGCCCTGGAAGGCCTCTCCTGGCCCGGGAGGAGTGCTCGGACTTATAAACCCGACTCAGAAGAAGTCCCTTTTCATTTGGACCATGCAGTGGGGAGCGGGGGAAGGATTTGAAAGGAACGCCCTTTCAGGAACTCCCATGTTGTAACCCGGACCGTGACAAGGCAGCTCAGCAGGGCACTGAGGGATGATGAACTGCTCTGGTTACCTCGCGTGGTGTTTGCTGTGGAGGGCAGATGGACATCCTCAAACTGATCCAAAAGCTAAACACGCCCCGTGTGAAACGTTACCACTGAAGGGAGAGGAGAGGGCTGGAAAAGAGCAGAAAACCAGCTTTGGTTACATCATCAGAGTTCAGTTTATTTACTAATCTAGTTGGCGATCTTTAAAGGAAGTCACTTGCAGAGTTGAAGGTGCTGTGTAAAAAATATATATATATATATAATTAAAAAATCTCAATACTTAGGTAAAATTAAGGTCAGGAATACTTCTAGCTGGAGTCTTAATAAACCTCAGTCTCATCATCAGGCTGATTCAGGGCTTATCAGCCCCTTGCCAACACCATTCCTTCAATGCCTCTGCCCCCCAAGAGGTTTTATAGCTCATCTTTTGAATACTTGGAACATTCCTCCTAATCCCCACATTTATTTTTTTTAGGCTATTTAAAGGAAAAAAGTGGCTGTGTACTAGCGGTCCCCTACCTAGGGCACAGAGCTGAGGTGTGGTCAGGTAGAGACGGGCTCTTCCCTGACTGGGTACAACGACTGTTGGTTCTCTTCTCCCCTTTTCAGCTCATCCAGACGCACACTCGGGCGCTGCTTTGAATAAGACGTGTTTGAGCTGTACAGAAATAGAACTTCTTTCCATATTAAACCACCCCCTTCTGCACACAGCTGTTCGTTTTTCCCCGGGGGGGGGAGGAAGGGAGCATTTTTGAATGGAGCCCTTACAGGGCTGATACTAAAGAAGCCTCTGTAAGAGATTCATTCCCAATAAGCTATTGCTGCCAACGCCCCACCTCCAATACAACAGATCTCAGAGACACTCTGGTGACGGGCCTTGTCACTCCAAGTTCATAGGCACAGCTATGAACATGCCCTTGCTGTATAATAATTTGGAAAGATCAAGCAAGATGCAGTCAGTGGCATATGCTGTGAGTGGCTTTCTTTAAAGTATCGATGTAACTGTAACAAGTGACATTACTTTTTTTTAAATAGTGTATTTTTCCTTTTTTTAAAAAAACAAAGAATATCAGTCAATGAATTTAAAAGAAAAATTTGCTTATTTGTTCATATTATGTTCAAAGACAGTCTATTTTTTCACTGTAGAAATGTTACGTGTAATGGCTGTGATATATAAAAATGCAGTGCAAATTGCTACTTCTACATATTGCTTTTCTACCATTTAAAAGGTTTAACTTGCTCATGTAAGAACAAAATGTCTCTTTATTTTAAATCTCAGACATATCAGGTGTCTCTGGAAGGGCGTGAGGTTAGCGGGCTGGCTTAGATGTGGTTGTTAGTACCAACTCACTCCCCCTCCTCCTAGGGCCATGTTGCCTGCTCTTCCCAGGGCCAGTGGTGAATTGGGAGATTAAATAATACCCGTGTCTTATGACTGAAGTAGAGAGAGAGGAATTTCAGAGCCATGGCGGGCAGGTGCCCACAGACACATGCGTACAGCTTAACAGACTAATGGGTATTGTAATAACAGCCCAAGACTCTTCATGCAGTGGGCCATGTGTCAAATAGGCCAGCAGTTGTACATGAAAAGGAAGTGTGTTGCCAAAGTGCGGTGAAGAGAGTGTGTCATGCAGCAGAGACGCTGCCCCAATAACTACTCTCCCTTGATTATTATTCTTAATTATTTTCTAGAGAGGTAAACATGGCCCCAAGCTGGTACTGTTGGGATGAGCTAAATGCAACCGAACTGCTACCCCCTCCCCCCAAATCAACCTCTGTCCTGTCTTGAAAGGGGGAAAAAAGGCTTCTTTGAGATTTTACTTCCTACTTGTGTGAAAGTTTCCCAAATTTCTAAGTATGTTGCAGCAAAATCTTATTGGGAGAGGGGTTTTTTTGTTTTTTTTGGGGGGTGGGGTGGGGGGAGAAATACGTTTTTTCTTTGTATGAGAGCAAAGTGCTGTTGCTTTCACACTGTTATTTCAAACTGAATCAGTAAGTGGTTTTCAGACCACTGTGTATGTAGATATATTGACTTTGTATTAAAGGAAGATTGTCTGAAAGGCCGGCCTGCAGACCCGTTTGTCGTTAGAATTGTGGGACGCCCGCAGAACGGAACCAACCAACACAGCTACTTTATTTTGCTCAACTCCAGCTGCTAATTGGAGGCTCTTGCATTTGTGTGCTAGCACCAGGGTTCCGTCGCTTTCTAGAGAGCGCCGGGAAAGGGTGTGGCCTGCGGCCTCGGACCGCTCAGTATACCATTAGACAAGGAGATGGTTCTTAAAGGAACATCTCCAGTTCCCACTGTCTGCCACGGCCTTGGACTCCGAAATCTAACCACTAGCATATGCTGCTCATTATTCCAGCTGCCAGCACACCTGTGCTATTCTGCCTTTTTTAAGGGCCTGCAGTCGAGTTGGGCCAGTAGGAAAGAAGCTTTTCCTTGGGTTTGGGAAGACCAGAGCCTCAACAAAATACTCTCTTCCTTTTCAAAAGGACAATGCAGGTGTCACTACACAGCAAAACAAAGCGCTGGCAGCAAGGCTCTGGCTTGCAGGGCTAACGCCAGCAGTGTAGCTGTTCGAGCGTGGGTGGGAGCCCCGTTCTCTGATACCCTCCCAACTCTGGGAGCCAAACCATCTCCACTGCTATTTTTAGCTCCGAGTCGGTTGATCTGGGGGCTGAGACTTGCTGCCGCACGTTTTGCTGTGTCGATGTAGCCTTCGAGGGAAAAACTGCTAGAGCGAGAAGGGAAACGAAAAGAGGCATCTGCCACAAACTTGTAGGACAGGGAGAGCACCAAGGCAGAGGGAAGCTTTCCTCTCCCATCATTTCCCCAAAGGAGGCTGCCTGAGATCACCAGTGCCCCACGCTCATGGGCAGCTGGCACCCTGTGCCCATCAAGCCCAGTGCACCTTATCTAACCAACAGCGAGAGCAGCTTCACTGTAAACCCAAGTGAAACGCAAGGATTGGGGGAGACAGAGAAGACATGGCATGTGGGAGCCGAGAAAGAGCTCCAAGCAGCTGAGGGCAGTGCTCGTAAAAGAATGCCAGCCCCACTGCAAGGGAGGCATGGGGAGGATACAGCAGGCCTGAAAGGGCTTGAAATGGATCTGGAGATGAATATGGGGTGACAGAAAGGCTGCAGGTGTTACATTACAGGCCCCCCCTCAAGAATCAGAGCCCCCGTGGTCTGGTACTGTACAGCCAGGATATAGTATGCAGGGATGATTTAGTTATGCTTCCTGGAGTGAAAGTTAATAGTTCATGTCAATACACCGGTATTTCATGTTCGAATAATATCCCCTCAGGTTTTTACAACGTGTCTGGCAAGAAGCAATTCAGAGTAGGAAAGAACCGCCGTTCTCAGAGAGAGGAAACCAAGGGGACAGGAAGGAATTAAAGTGCACGGCACGGCTAGCCCCACTTGCACTGTGTGGGGAGAGGGTTCCCGTTCTCTGCAGAATTGGGAATCAGCCACTACCAGAGAGGAGTGGAACTGGACTGCGGATCTGACCTATACTCTAGTATGTACCAAACATAGACACGAGAAAACCCTGATGTAGAGAAAACAAAGACACGATGAACCAAAGCACTCATACGACTAGACTAAAAACACCTGTGGGAAACAGCTAGAATTCAAAGGAGCCTGTACCCACCTCAAGCTTTCAATCGTCTGCTCTCGGGCCGGATTGGCAGATGAAGGTTTGTTCTCTCGTTAGCGAGCATGATTTCTAGAGCAAATGCAAAGCAGTGGATTCTCGAGCACTTACTCAGCTAGAGGACGACGTTCCAGCCTGGCACAGCTAGTCCACTCAGAGAAAAGACAGGCATCCCTGACGCATATAACCTACAAAACCACGAGGTGATACTGACTTAGGGATAGAGGAGGCTGAGAACAGGAAGAAGGAGATGACAGCTGCTGAATACTTTTCATAGGCGAGTTCCTGGCCCCAGAGAAGAGCCCTGTAATTTGGACCCCTTGAACATTTTTGTCTGCACCAGGCAGAGTGTTGTCAAAGGACAAAGCACTTCTAAAGAGGAGCTAGGACTGAGCCTATCTGTGCAACCCCCTCCAAGACCAGGCCTGACACCCGGCCAAACGTCCGGTATGTCTCACCAGTCAGTATTTGGCCTCTGGTTTTTTTTCTTGTAATAAAACAGAAATGGAGGGAGAAGAGAGGGGGACTATCATTAACTTGTAACAGCACTGAGTGCCAGTAGCACACACTGGGGCTCTGATGGGGAGCAGAACAGCTGTCATAGCAAACAGACCAGTGGTCTATCTAGTCTAATAATTGGGTTGAGGCAGTAGCAGATGCTTCATAGACCATTGCCAGCATCCTCATTATGGACAAATTTCCCCTGACCATGGGGGAATTTCCCTCCTAACTCCCCCTATTTGGGGCATCATCCCTGAAGCAAGAGTTTCTCTCTTCGATCCTCTGTGCCATTCCACGTGCTTGGCTATAATTCTTCCCTGCCGACAGACAGGGAAGTGATGTGAGATCCCCTCTGGCTAGAAGGGATGTATTTGCTGGCTCACTGAGTTGTTACTGTCTCCAGCAGGAGGAGGGAGCAGTACCTTTTCCAAACATAGCAATGTGGAAGTCCAGACCTTGGCAGGTGCAGTGCTCGGAAGAGCAACCTGCAGTCCATTGTGGGAGGTGCCCGCAATCCTACTTTGACCCTCCTCCCCATTCAGACGAGCCTCATTCTGCACATTGGTTCAGTTTAAGTTTAAAGGGGGAAAAGGTAGCAAGTTATTACAGACCTGCTTTCCAAGTATCAGGCTGACAAACTCCTCCTCTACAGGGAATGACACTGTATAGTCCCCAGCTGTTGGCCGGGAGATTTACCATAAGCCTCTGAACTAGCACAGAGGATCTGAAAAAGAAAAAAAAAAAATAAGGAAAATCTCCCCCATTTTGAATCCTGTCTATTGTACCTGGATATCCTCAGACATGTATATGGCTCATAATCCTTTGACTCCTAGTGAGATCTTGGGCTGTAATATAACTGACCTTTGGAACTCAAGGCTACAAGCTAGGCATTGTGTAAAAGGAAAGTGTCTCTTTTTATCAATTGGTTGACTTCAAATGTCCCTTATTGTATTATCAGAAGGCAAAAAGGAATCTCCAGTTTTCCTTCTCTGCACCGTTCATTGTGTTCCACCAATTGCCTACCAATTCTTCTGCTCTATGCATTAAAACAGTCCCATTTTTTCTCCGCTGTTACTGAAGTCTCTCCATGCCTCTAATAGTTTTCATCACCAGTCTTCAGCCTCCTATTTCTGCTCCATCTTTTCCGAGACGGCATAACCATCTCCCGTGTTAAGAGATGTAAAAATTCCTACTGAAGGCAGAATAAGCAAGTACCAAACGAACTACGGTACAGTGAATGCTACAGAGAATTGGAACAGCAGCTGGGAAATACGTAAACCTTTCCAAAAAAACAATCGCTAGCAGAGGAAGCCATTTAGAAAAGCAAATGTAAAATGAAAGCCCATGAAAGCAGGAAAGTCTTGTACTAAACTGATTCCACACATACAAAATACAGCAGAGGTGATATTCCCAATAGCAGCACTTCAACACCCAGCTTCGTTCCAAACGCTACATTGTAACAACAAGAAACAAACGCATTATGATGACAGCTGGGCAGCATTTTTCAATCAATTAGTTTAATTACTGAAAAATGCGCTTTCAGAGTGACCAAAACTATTCACAAATCCAGCATGAATTTTTTTTAGAAAACTCAAAACAGTTTAGACATTTTCTAAATGAAACGTTTCAACTTTCCATTTCAAAATGATGTTTTGTTTAGAAAAATTTAGTTAGATTTGTTTACAAATATTTTAAAAGGGTAAAAAAGCACCTGGAAATATAAAACAATAAGCTAAAAAAAAAGTTTGGGATTGAACAAACCATTTAATTCATCCCAAACCAACTTTTTTTTTTAAAAAGACTTTTTTTTTCATTCAGTCACTGAACCAAAAAAATCAATTATTTGCTCAGTGAAAAATTCTGACCAGGACTATCCCTTTCCCATCTTGCAGTCCTGCTACACTAAACTCGTCCATGCCAAATCAATGGGGCTGTGGAACTTTTAGAAAAGGCCAATTGAGAGGCAATCGAAGTGAAGGGTGTAAGTTCTCCAACAGTCCTCCAAATTCCTGTCTTCAGTGCAACCCACATACCAGGAGAACTAAGCGTAAGTGGGAAGAAGAAAGGTGTAAAGAAGGCCGTTCTGACTGAAGATTATCAATAGCGAGAATGGCCTAGCAGACACTGGTGTTCTAGAGTGGAATCTATACAAATCTCTTCTCCACTTAAACAAAACGAAGAGGAAAAAGGAACTGAGATTTGAAAGCAGATGAGAGAGATTCTGCCTGGTCACGGACATTCTCTCCGATCCTCAGATGTAGCAGGTGGTCCCTGGTTTCCACTATCCATTTTAGCGCCATTGCCTGGCCTCTGCAGTAAGTCTCTCTCTGCCATCTCTTTGCAATTAAACCAGTAGCATGACTGATCACTTGGCTCCACCACTGGAAACCCAAACGATATAGATCAGCATTTCTTCCCTCCCCAGAAGGACTGGGAGAAATCACAAAGCTCCATACCATTTTTGGGACAGGTGGAAGCCAGCTGTGATCCTTCAGAGCTGACCTATGCCTTCCCTATTTTAGAAACATATTCGGGATCCCATTCAGGGCTGCAAAAACAAAGGAGAGCAAAACATGAAGAGAAGATGCCAAATGCAAATTCTTAGGGGGCAAACAGGGATAATGGAGGACCCTCCAAGACATTCTCTCAGCCCACGAAAAACTTCCTGTGTGGAAAACTTGACTTCACCAGGCATAACTTGTATTGATACACACTGCAAATCTTTCCATGGATTCATTTTATGATGCAAGATAACCAGCATAGATTTTACACACACTCTGAGCCCAGGCTGCTCCGGACCTCTGGGAAGCAGAGACTAAATGAATACAGGTGGAAATGTGCCTTTAATAGTCTAGCTGATGTAACATTTTACTTGGGCTCATGAACTGGTGAAATTACATTCGAATGCATTGACTCTGAATACAATAGACTGACGTGCTTCAGGTTTGATTGAGCATAAGTTATTCTAGGATACGAGACATGCATAACGCACTAGCTGTGGTGTTACGGGGTACTTGTTGCTGGAATGATCGAGGTGGAGTTTGAGTCTTCACCCAAGTTTTCAGGATTTACTGTCAGACTGCAGTAGCCTGAAACTCGATCCCTTGTTAGCTCACATTCTTATTTTTATTAACAAAATCCTAGTTTTAGGGCCATTCAAGTCAGCTTTCAGCAAGGTACTCGGGGAGGTTTTGGCTAGCCACTTCCTACTGATCCACAGGAAGAGGGTTTTGCATTGCTTTTTAATGTCAGCTTTGGCAGCGAGTTGATGAGCTATGTTAGCACGTATGTGAAAAGAGTAAATAATTGCAGGCAGTATTTGTACCCAAAAGCAGCGTCTCGGCACAGAGGCTAGGGATCTACACTGGCATAATTCCTTATGTTAGGAGAAGGGTTATTAAATATACTGGCTTTACAGGGGAGACCTTGGTGGCAGGACCTTATTAAAGGCAGACTAGCCAACCAAGAAAAAGCAGGAGATGTGACCAGGGTGGAAACCAAAACCACCTCCAGCCGAGCAGGCTAAGCTGTAAATGTATTTCTTGAAGAAGAGGCCGTAGCACATTTCAGTCCCTAACCCTGAAGGATTCATCTCACGTCACTAAAGATAATATGGGCAGAGCCTCCAACGCACCCATCCGAAAGACGTTGCTACATTAAACCCCAGGTCCCTCTATATATCAAGGGCATCAGCATGGAAATCACACTCCTCACCTTTGAGAAGCAAAGATTATTCCAACAGCTACTGAGACTTGTTTTCCAAACCACACCCGGTCTTGTTCTGCTCAGCAGCCGGTGGACTTTAAGACATTTTCCTGCAGCAACTATTATGCAATCATTTATATGCAAATCCTGAAGAGACTCTCTCCCTAGTTTAATAAATGAGTCTCTAAACCATCTCTATTGCCTGTCTCTTCTCCTTTTAAACATAATGGTCTATTTATGTTGCTTCCAAAGGTCAATTCCGAATTCTTCTTCCTTAACTCGAATGTAGCTGGTGAAGCATCACCAGCGCTTGAGAACAGCTCACAGACACTGCCACCCGGAGATCTAAGTTGAACATTACAGCATTCCCTCACCTGCTGACTGAATGCACCCTCATGCACAGACTTCCCGCCAACGGTAATCTTTCAGTTGCACACCGAAAAGATGCTGCCAGCCACTTAAGGGTCACCCATTGGAGAGAGACTCTTACTCCCAATTAAAATCCCTTGACATCTATGACCCACCTTCTTTTTTTGGCTTGAGCAAATGTCAGCTAACCCACTGGGAAGAGCACGCCAAGTAGATGGTGTCAAGCATTGACCTACCCTAGTCTCCAGTCCTCGTCCAGACGCTGATAATGGGAATATCTGCTCAGGCTACGCCACTGGGTCAGTTAATGAGATGCACCTGAATGCACTCAGCTGACCGGCTGCAGCTGTGTGAATTTCTGCATCCTCCTAAACTGAAGCAATAGCTGGCAGGCTAGTTTGGAACATGGAAAAGACACCCTGAGAGAGGAGATATTTTCTTAGGATGCACAGGAGGCTTGTAGGGGGACAGAGGCAACCAATATGGACAAAACACACAAGGGACCTCATGCTCACATACACAAAGACCCCTTTACACACCATGGCAGTACAAAGGGACCTTAGTGTATCTCTAGAAGAAAAACCTCTCAGTTTACCGAGCTACAACCTGTGGCAAGCCAGTTCCCAGGCCAGGGGAAGCACTTTGCCATTAGAAACCCTGCATGTTTGTGTTCTTTAATTATAGTGAGAAAAGCAGGCAGAGTAAGGGAAATAAATAGATTTTTCCTAAACAAATTTAGTAATGGCTACTACCCCCAAATCACTAATCCAACAGGTGTAGAACTGAAACAGAAAAAGTAAATATATTTGAGTCAGAGAAGTTTGTTTTCTTAACTCATCTAGCCCATGCCCTGGGGAGAGGATCAGGCAAGACTGTTCTAAATTCACTAATGAGGTCGCCAGCACTTCCTGGGGAGTCATAAAATGCAACCCGAACAGTGTTTCTAATTGTAGCAATTTCTGCAATTCTACAACTGCAGGTACACTCTGGACTCTGTATAACCAAAATAAGTGTCATTTCTCCCTCCCACAACGGAACAACCCGAGCACTGCTAGCCGCTGCAGGAAAAGTGTGAAAAGGAGGCCACTAGTGACATGTGGCTGTCAGTAGCACAGCTGGGGAATAAGAACCCAGGAGTCCAGACTGGAGCAGGGTAGGAACCAGTTTCCTCATCCCGCAAATTTTTTGAACATTTTTTCCTGTCCTGAATGAGGACAAAAAAGAAAAGTAAAAAATCTCAAATTTTCACAAAACAAAAATTCAAAACAAATTTCAGTTTGGGTCAATCCAAATGTTTCATTTTGACTTCAACCATTTTTGATTTTTTTACACTCTAATCTGCTTAAATTTCTAAACCAAAAAAAGTCATTTCAAACCAGAAAATTTTCATTTCAAGAGATGCCAACACTAAATGTTTTGACAACTTGAAAAGAAGTTGAAGAAAAGGTTTTGAAGTCGAGAAAACCCTCCAAACTGACCCTTTCCCACAAAGAGATTTAGTTTCAACCAAAAATTGTCTAATAAAACAAACCCAACTAGCTCTAGTTCAGATTTGCCAGTCCCATGATCCAACCACTCGCTCATCCTTACCCTGTCTAGGACAGCAGTTCTCATTGTACCGTAATCCTCTTGTGACAACAAAAATTACTACATGACCCCAGGAGGGGGACCAAAGCCCAAGCCCGCCTGAGCCCTGCTGCCCTGGGCAGAGGGAGCCAAAGCTGAAGCCCAAAGGCTTCTGCGCTGGGCAGGGGGGCATATAACCTTAGCCCCCCTGCCTAGGGCTAAAGTCCTCAGGCTTCGACCCTGGTCCCCAACAAGTCCAACGCCAGCTTTGGCGACCCCTTTAAAATGGGATTGGGACCCCAAAGTGGGTCCCTACCCACTCTTTGAGAACCGCTAGTATAGGACCTTCAACTGCTTCAAGCCAAACTTAGAAGCCAGAACTCTAGCTGCCTTCAGGATCCTTGCCATTACTTGTCACTAATCCGATAAAGCACAGAGCACCCCAGAAGTCATGCTTCTCTGCCCTAGCAGAAGCATAGATGCCTTTTTTACCTGCTTCACTGATACCAAAGTTAATAGTCAATACCAACTGTTGACTTCATTGGAAAAGCTATTAAACTCAGCTGCTGAGCGGACGTGGGCAAACTGACCAGCCTCTTGGAACCATCTGCCAGCACCTGCACTTGGCCCTGGAAACGGTTAGCACATTTCTAATATGGATGGGCCTGAAGCAAAATCCCAAATCCAGGTCTGACCCTAGCTCTACAACGGGTTGAATCCAGTCAATGAATTTGCTTACACCAAACCATGCGGGAACTTTAGATACTGATCCACATTTCACATAACCCCTGGCTTGGCATTGATAGACATCGTAAATCGAAGGCCAAGTTTGAATCCCGAATTCTGGTTTGGGCCCACCTTTAATTTCTAGTAAGAACTAGTGCTGCAGAAGAGATTATTTAAATATGGCGCTAGGAAAGGTGCTACTTATGTATCCAGACGGAGGGCAGGGGGGACTACAGACCTAGGACATGGCATGTCAGGTCTGTCTTTGCTGTTCTTCAGCGCTGCTTTGTGGTGGGAACTAAAACGACGATACGCCCTATTTGGATGGACAGAGTCCCAAAGATACAGCATAAAGAGACAGACTCAAGAAGCAGAGGCGGGGGCTAATGGAGAGAGGCTTTTGCTGCTTGTGCACACACGGATGTGTTTACATGTCCTAAGCGTGCAGCCCCAAGCATCTTATAAACTAGTTCCAAACAACAAGCTGCATCTACTTCTAGGAACGGGGTGAACGTTTTGAATATCACTCAAAATATACACACTGGTCTTGATCTTTAGCTTATGCGAACCGTCCACAGTAATAATAAATCATTAGATCCTTTCAAAGCTAGCAAAGGGCTGGAGGCTTGACCAACAGCTATATATCTCCATTTATTAATAGCGCTCTCTCTAGCCATCTATCTAATCTGTTCATTCCAGTCCATTTTTAATCTGCCTATTTTTCTAATCTATTTATCCAGCCAGCCATACCATAGATCTCTTTACAGTTTGTACAGAGATTAAATCCTTATGTTGCTATCTAATCACTATCTCTGGAAAGACAAACACTCAGAATTTCTTCGTAGTTATTAAAGGCACAGATATTTGAGTAGAAAACTGTAATATCCGTCCATCTGTGTATGCAAATAGTGTCTACATACCGCACATGAACATACACTCCTATATATGCAGATGGCCATCTTAGATTAATAGGCTACACAAGGGTTGTATCTATCCTGGGTTTACTCAGAACAATAAATCCTCTTTCAGAAAAACTACAACATACCCAAATGATCAAAAATCCCTTTTATGTAATTAATTTCTGAACGTTTTGACACACAGACAGCTGCCTGACTGCATGGGAAGATGATGTCATTCCTACTAAGGGCCAACACAACAAACTTGGTAAAACATTTCATAGCCAGGGCAGACTTCATCCCATCCTTCTGATGGGGAAAGCTAAGCAGTGTACCAATAGGATAACTGATAGCACCACATAGAGACCTAAACTGAGGACACAATCCCCCACTTTCACTTTGAGCAGAAACGGGCCTTAAATGTTCACTGTAGCGTAACTGCCTTTTCAAGGGCCACAGTCACATGCAAAGTGTGAGCCTTGAAAGAGAGATGGGACAGTGGGAACGCCTCTTCTCTCGCTCCAGCGGGGGGAACAGGCTGCAGAAGGTGCGGCTGCTCCTCCGTAATCAGTAGCATCGGGTAGGAAGATGTCGAGGGCAAACGAGGAGAAATACCTCAAGAGATGTTCATTGGTTTGGGACGGTCCTAGGCACAGAGGGGAGGAGAGACCGACCCCAAGCAATTATCCTTATCCATATGGAAACACACATTTTCTTATTCAGGGACAAAACAAGCGTAAGGGCCTCAGGCGACCTCTGAACGTCCATTCACAGCTTTTTGGACTAAAGCCCCTCACAAGAGGTCTCAGGCGGTCTTCAGCCCATTGTGAGACCAGATAACCCATGTATCAGGGTCACTGAAGACAAAACTGCTACCTCCACATTTCTGGCAGAAAATGCTGGGGAGGGGAGGGGAGAAAACAAAAGCACCGCCTCCCTGCTTTCTGCCCTCGAAGACCGACCCACCTGCAGCTAGCTTAGGGAAACAAAACAAAAAAGTGGACAAGATCGTTATGTACAACCTGAAGGAACGGGTCATCAGCTGAGTGGGCACAAACCAAGACCCCGTCCCCTGGGGGGTTGGGAGGGGTGGGTGAGAGAAGGAGTGACTCCTGTCCCTGTGAGGGCAGTAACTTCCCACCTCCTCACCAGTGGGGAACATGGTGCTTTTCTCCTTCTCCCAACCCGTTCCTTGCACTCTCCCCTTCCGCCTCATCTCCTGAGCTGGTGCTGCTGCCAGCTGGTTGAGTCAAGCCCCACTCCTCCCATTTGTGGTGGTGCCAGGGCTGTCAAGAGAGCCGGCTGGGCCCCGCTTCTGCCAGCCTGGGTAGTACCAATGCTGCTGCTCCAGCCACCACTGGCTGTACCCCCCGTCCTGTCAGGTAAGGTGATGCCAGTGCCATCTGCCAGGCAGCAATTACCCTCCCGGGCGGTGGGTGCTGGAGAGAACCGATTCCCATTGCTTAGAGCAGCAGCAGCAGAGGGGAGCTGGAGAACAGGAGTGTGACACTGCAGTGTCCTGCTTTAAGGCTTCACATCTCCAGGAGAGAGGATTTAAAAACGGGACAGTCCTGGAAAAAGCAGGACGTTTGCTCTCATGTACAGGGGCTGGTAAAGGAAGTTTAACGAATGCTGCAGGAATATGAACTGGATTGATTTCATATTGGTCTGCTTATAATTTCATTACAAAGCTCTCTGGATTCAACCGTTCCGCTTATTCACAGTGGCTTCAAAAACCAGAAACCAAAGCAGAACTATTTCGTTTTCACTGGCCAAGCCCCGAGACGCAAGAGACCGGCACAGCATACATGGTGAAAAGTAGGTTTGCTGTTTGGGTTTTTTTTAATTCAACCATTTTTAACAGTTGAAAGGGTTTTGAGCAAGAAAATGTGTCTTTAATAGAACTGGCCTCAATTCTCAAAAGCAACAAGTGGTTTTTGGAAGCTTCCATTTTGGGTTCCTTTCCCATTTCATTTCGAGAGAGGACACGTGCAGATCCATACACTGTGCTGTGTCATGTTTGGTAAATGGAGCAGTGGAAAATGGTACATTTAAAATGATTTCATGGCCCATTTGGTTTGTTAATCCATAAAATCATTTTAAAAGTACGATTTCCCACTGCTACATTTACCTAACGGAACAGAACACAGTTTGTAGGGATCTATACATGTCTTCTCCAAAAACAAAGTGGGAAAGGAACAGTCTGTGAAAAATCAGTCTACTACACAATCTGCTAATGTCTGTTTCTCGAACCGCACTTAACTAGAAAAAACAAAAAGGCACATTAAAGTAAGATAAAACTAGCAAAGCATTTGCCTCAGGGGGAACAAACCATTCATACAGATTGGTCCGTAGACAACAGTCCAGGTGTAAAGCATCTCGCTGAATCAGGAAAGTTACAAATACAATTGCAAAAAACTGCTCAGGACCTCGGGTCCCTGTAAACATTCAGGGGAAGTGGGGAGGCTGGGGGAGCAGGCGGCAGGGTCGGAGGTTGAACTGAAGACAGACCTTAGAGACAGAAGAACTCTGCAAACGTCAACTCCAAAACCCAAACACCAACCAGTGATTTTGCAATAATGTTGAAAAGCCCATTACAACTTCCATGAGCCGTCATGCATTCTGGGGTACAAACCTATAGGAAGGTGAGGGGGGAGGGATACCTCACTGGTTTGAGCATTGGCCTGCTAAACCCAGAGTTGTGAGTTCAATCCTTGAGGGGGCCATTGAGGGATCT